TCAATTATCATTTTCATGTCGAGAGATTGCAAAGGTAAATTCAGGTTATCTACCGTCCTTACGTCTGTTAAATTATAAGATTTTGCATCAGAAAAATTACCACTGATAGTTAATTTTACTTTTCTCGAATTACTTTCAGTTTGACAATGATGATTTGTCCACTGCATACAAAGTGGTTCCACAGTCCCGTTCAACCCAATTTCTTTTGCTACATTGTTATCAAGAAGAGTTATTGTCGAACCTTCGTCTAATAACGCATATATCAGTATTTTACCTCGGGGACCCTCTAAATTAACTGGAATAGTCCTGAGGATTATTTCAGAAGGACTATTATGTACACAAACAGGTTCTGGCGAATGATCATGTCTATTAGTTTCTGCTGGGACCTGACATTCAACCTCTTTATGTAACATATTATTATGTCTGAGTTTGCAATTTCGGACTCCACAAATTCTTTTGGCAAAACATGAATTCATTCTATGATTCGGTTTGAGACAGGAAATACAAAGTTTATTTTTTGTCACAAAGAGCCAACGCTCGTCTACAGACATTTCTTGAAACTTTTGACATCTTTCTAAATTATGCTTAGTTTTATCGCAACATGAACATTTTGTTTCAAAATTCGTATTTTTATTTGTCATCAAAACCGTTTCCGATCTTTTATGTGTAGCAAAACGTTCTGATTTTGGGTTACAGAGTAAACTTGCAGCTCTACTGATATCTTTGAGCCAATCTGATAACTCTAATAATGTGATTTCCTTCAATTTTACAGCATGAAATGCCCACTGATGTTTCAAACTGACGGTGAGGTTGGAAACAAATTCTTCGACAAGTAAAGGATTTTTCAGATATATATCGCTATCTAAATGTTTCACTGCAGCTACTAAATTACATAAAGAATTAGCATACTTTACGATTGAGTCTGGCCTGTAATCTTTTGGTGAAGGTGTCTGACGAACCTGATCAATTAAATATCGAATCACAAATTCAGGACGTCCGTAATTATTTTTTAAAGTTTCTATAATATCTGGAACATTTCTATGAGAGATCAAAAGCATTTTCACGGCATCTCTGGCGTCTCCTTTGAGGCATTTCCTGAGTCTAATAAGGTTTTCACTGTCTGAATACTTACATAGTTCAGTCGTTTCATGATATTCATTAATGAATACTAACCATTCAGATGGATTACCATCGAAATATGGTAAGGATCTATCAACGGCCTGTCTTCTGAATCCACATGTCTCGAAATTCACTTCTGGTTTAGCTATTGCATTATTAACAAACTTACCGTCCATGTCCAAATTCCTACCCTCCGCGCATTCATCTCGAGATAGCTCTTTCTTTTCAATATTATCCATCATCACTGTAGCTTTATCTTCTTCGTTACATGATTTCAACCATTTTTCAACTTCGCTGTTTCTATTAGAGCTCCTTATATCGATTTCATCACAGAAACTGTCTTCCTTATCTGCTTCTTCATCAATCTTCATTTTATCTAATGCCAATTTCTTGAGTATCATCTTCTCCTTTAGTTCTAGAAGTTTCATATCTGCTTCCAGTTCTATCTCTAATTTCCGTCGTTCAGCTGTACTTGCGGAAGTGTTCCGACTTTTCATTGATTTTTTAGTTGAGATAGATTTGAAATTTTCTTTCCCAACATCTTTTTCATTTTCACAAACTTGTAATTCTCCACCCTGTATGATTCTGTCTTGAATGTCATCTTTGTCTTGTCCACTAGTCTTTCTTCTTCTATCTACTTTATCTCTTGTGAACTCAACTTCTTCATCGGAGTGTTGATCTAGTGTACGGGCTCTCCTTTGCAGTCTAGTATCGTATGTCTTTCGTTCAACTCTAGAAATCTCTTCAGTCTTTCTGCTCATGTCTACGTATGTCTACAAATTCTTCTTCAGAGATCTAGCTATCGAAGGACCAATGTAGCTGTCTGCTGGCTCAGACCGTCCTGATGTCTTCAGAACGATCAAATACGCTGGTTTCTGAATGAATATGTATTTCAAAGAACAATGACTTTTATTGACTGAAGAAAAAAATCTTTACTTGACAAAAATTGTCAAACTCGAAACTACTTCCTTATACAGGACGATAAAAAATGGAAATATATTAAATTCAACAACAAGTGCTTTACAACACGCATTTCGTACTATACTTTCTCGGCAACCGTCCGGGAAGTGCTCACTTCCCGGACGCTATCTCTTCGAGAAAGTAGCATTTTTCCGGCCTAGTCCGGGAAGTACGTACTTCCCGGACCGTTAGCCTCATTCGTTTTGATCCCTGGAAATTCAAGGTGGGGTTTGCTGCGAACATCTCTGCAAAAATATTTCCTTTGTCTTACGATGTTGTTACTAATGTGGCGTCGGCGTTGGAGAGTGGTCGTAGGAATGAACTATCTATTGGTGATATCTCTTCCGACTGCTGTAGCGAGGTACTAAAACGAACGTGAGCCATTGGACCTATGAGTTTTGATCTTATTTTGGTATTGTACGATTTTTTTGAGCATCTTTTATATGGTGTTATAATACACCATAGTGACCTCTGATGACATTTAATAATATTGGTGATGCACTGGTTGGGGAGTTCCTCGGTTCTCCTGTTCATTCAATCGTATTTTCACTGGCGCTATCCCATCTCCATCAGGATGAGATCAGTTTCTCGTATTTGTATCGAAAATTAAGTAGTGTGTGTCGGCGAGATGTAAGCAAACCAAGAATAGTTTTGATAGCAATGTAATGGATGTCTGCAAATTTTGCTTCTTCACTTGTTTGCTCACGTATATTCATGTTTCCTTTTTCACCCAGCAAGAATCTAAATATCAAATTTTTGACGAATTCTCTGAAATACGAAGTCCACATGTAAACATCGGAGCGATGCATCATTCGTGATATCGCAGTGTTGCCGCATCATGACATCTTAGAAATGTCATGTTGCGTAATATGTGCTTGCTTCTGTACATACATCGCAGCGATGGAACATTCGTAATATTGCAGTGTTGGCTCATCGCGACATCTCAGAGATGCCATGTCGCAGATGTGTTTGCTTCTGTACACTGCAGCAGTGGAACATTCGTAATATCGCAGTGTTGCCTCATCGCGACATTTCAGGAATGTCATGTCGCAGATGTGTTGGCTTATGAACATCGGAGCGATGAAATATTCGTGTTATCGTACTGTTACTTAGACGCGACATCTCAGAGATGTCATGTCTCATATGTGTAGGCTGGGATTTGTCCATTCCAAGCGTGATGATCTCGGATATTTCTGCAGCCCACTGTGAAGGATCCTTCAGAATCAAAGCATATTCTATTCCAAGAAAATTCGGAGAAAAAGACGTGGGGGATGGAATGAAAAATTGGCAGGTTGTGGAGATGATTGCGTGATCAGAATTACCAAGTGGAGCTCGTCCTCTATGGTGTAAGGTGCTGAATTATTAGCGAGGAATAAGTCAAGTGTGCTGGCAGAATATGGTTATTGGCATGTGGAATTCGTGTATGTTCCTTGATATGATGCTCCAAGCTGTGAGTGATGGCGAAAGCTTCGGCTTGTCGCCCAGCTTCATCCTTTCTGTTGGAGTGTACGAGCAAAGCAGTTTGTGTACATTGAAATCGCCCATGAGGATCATCTCTGCTGCTGCATGGATTTTAAAAATAAGTTCAAGCTTAAGGGACAAGAACTCGAAAAGCTCTCCATATAGGATGGATCATTATTTGGTGAAATTAGTAAAATTTCAACAGAAACCTTTATGTTCAACGTTCGGATACAAGTTTATGTTCACCATATATCTTTGTCATAATTTATCAACCCAAAAAATACAAAAAAAGGTCAAGGGTTAGTAGTTATATTCATTTTCTTCAAATGACATAAAAAATGGCTTTTCTATGACAGGAATGGAAAGTGTATTTTTACTGCTTAGACAAAAAAAGTTTGTTGCTATACAAGGTTTCAATTAATTTAAATGAAATTGGTAATAAAATCGACAATGATATTGCGTGAACACAAAATGATAGAGTTTTTTTATAAAAAGTTACAAAACATCGGTTTTATAACATTCGAAGTAGAAAGTTATATGTTTCACATGTCAGAAAAGAAGATTCAATGCCTTGGATGGTTTTCTAGTCTCAGATACGCCTGGGCTATGAAACACCAGCCGCGGGATTAAATCTTGTCCTTTTCCGCCGATCAAAACAAATGACTACATCCACAAATTTGTGGAGATGACTTCGAGCATACTTTCCTTCTTTTGAAATAACTACTTTTCAGAAGTCGATAGACGAATAATTCATATCAGGCTAGTTATGTTTAACTTTGGTTAGACTAATAAGTTGAGTTATTATCATCCTTACCAACACTACAATATATACTTCTTGTACTCATATAAAGGTTCAAATCACATCGGGAAATTTTTCACAGAGGACAACCGACCTCATATAATTGTTTCACGCGGTTTTCAAACCCTCATACTTATGTGAATTTTTATATGATTTCTATGAAAAAACCGGCACATCTGAATAGCATTTTTGCGAACGTAAATAATTATTTACTCGGAAACGGTGAGTTTAACAAAAAGAAGAATTTCTGGTTTTTCCTTTCAAATCGTCATTTTCCACCTACCGGGAGCTATTGAACGATTCAAAATTTGTAGCTGATTGGAATTCACTATTTTTTGGGAGCAGAAAAAATCATTAAACCAATCCTGTCGATTCGGAATGAACTGATTTTCTGTATATAAAGGTTCGGAAGCATGAGCTTTCTTCCAATAAATTTCTAATATGTTCGTATCTGAAAAACTGATCGTATTGAAGTTTATTCATCATTCGGTCCAAATTTGGTACGAATCGCACGACAATAATAGCTGAGATATAGAGGGGGGAGCGTTTAAAGTGAAATACGCTGTATATATTACTTAATTTGTGACCATCTGAGAATAAATATTTTTTTGTACTTTTTCAGAATGTCATAGCCTATGAGTATCTTCCGGCATTCTTAGAGGAGCATTTGCCTCCTTACAAAGGCTACAAACCTGATATTCATCCAGGAGTAACGCATGTCTTCCAAAGCGCCGCTTTCAGATTTGGTCATTCCTTAATTCCTCCTGGAATTTACAGGAGGGATGCGCAGTGTAATTACAAGAAAACGTCAATGGGACATATGGCCTTGAGGTTGTGCTCCAGTTGGTGGGACTCTAACGTGAGTATTTTAGTTACTGAAAATTCTCTGAAACAACAGACAACTTTTTATCCTATTATCGTTATGTTCGACATTACATAGAAGGTGATCTATGTAAGGAACTATAAGCTGTAGGTCCCGCTCTTGCTATAATCCTCCACAAGTTTAAACTCCTGGAGAGTTGGTTCCCAACTTCGAAGTAAGATTAAATTAATAATTTCACATTTTTTACTACCCGAACAAATTTATGACATTTACTTAAAGTACAACCTAAGAAGAAACATCACTGAACAATCTCTCGATTTCCGGCCAGTGCGAACGTTTTGAATTGTGTAAACATAATTCGATATGTTCAATGAAAAAAAGGAGGGGGGGAAGGTTAGGCAAGCCAGCCAGCCCACCTGAAACTGACACTTGTTGTGCAATTCCAGTGTGCAATGATAGCGGGTTGGGGCCCAGCGAGCACAAAAACATCTCAGAGATGTTAAAAGTACGAGAATTCGAGACATTGAACCTCCACTGCGATGTTCTGTTCACACATGAATAGAACTATTATAGAACAGCCAATGTCCGCCGCAGGCGGCAATTATCGAGATGTCCTTGATAAGTCACAAAACTATACCTTCTCCCTAGTTCTTTTTAAAGCCTTTTCATGGACACAACAGAACATTTTCAACGCATCTTGCGCACATTGAATCGCTGTAAAAAAACCATTTCCGAGGTACTTTTCTGAAGCCTTTTGTCAAAATGAACTTTTGCTTTTGATTCCATTTCCCTTGAATGAAAAAATGCATTAAAAATAGATTGAACATAAAAATATTCTCTTGATATGAAATTACCTTCTCAATCGGTTTCTGAGTAGTGCTTACTACACACAGACATATAATTGGAAATAGGTTTCCCAATTCTTGGAATGTTCTCCGCAATGCATAATTTTGCAACTGCGGAGAAGCTGTGTATTGATGAATTCGTACTTTTATATATTGATTACACTGAGGCACGGAACAACACATCTTGCATCTGATGGTCATTATTACAAACTAAATAAGTGTTCTAACACAATAAACTTCACCAAATTCCTTTCTGTTCGTTAGCAGCGTGATGAAAGCGTGACACGTTGCAAACGCGAATGCCAATTGCGAACAAGAAGAACAAAATCGAAAACAAATCAGAATTCATCGTATTGTGACGTAAGCACGAAACGTTGTGGTGGGGCAAACAAAGAAAGGGCACAAAAGAACAAAAACAATACTTTCAATATCCTTCTGAGACCTCTTTGGGTAGTGCATATTACGCCTCAAAAAAACATCCTCATTCCTACATTTCTAAAACATCCCGAAACATCCCAGGGATACCTCTCAGTAGGCAAACAAAGAAATGCCACAGAAGAACAAAAACAATACTTTAATATCCTTCAAAGACCTCTTTGGTCAGTGCATATATTACGTCTCAAAATAACATCTTCATGCCAACATTTTCAAAACATCCCAAAACATCCCAGGAATGTTTGTGCTCGCTGGGGGGCTTTCGACTTTTAATATTTCGTATTCATCCTCATCGGGAATCGAGCTAGGAATAGTATCGATATGGCTGCGTTCACTTCGCAGGCATATTGTGATTGATATTGGCTTAATAGTGCAGTACATGAACATTTCCAGGAGTGCAATCGCTAATACATAAAGTTTGCAACTAGTTGATGATAATACCTCATCAATTAGTATTCGGATAATCAGTTATAGATTGCATAAGATTATCGCAAAATATGGTTTGGCGAATATTATTCATGACATTTTTTCCCACCCATATCACTTGAAAAAATAACAAGTCCTCAAACCGGGAGACCTTCCACGTGTTCAATGGACGAAATCTTCTATTTGAAAAATAGCCACTTGCCCATCATCCATGCAATGCATTTGATTGAGTGTGTATTCAATGATTTTTTGTTGACTCCTTCTCATTTCTGTTGCGCTATGTTGTAATAAAATATATTTCTGAGCCACTTCATCAAAAAAGGTGGAGATGGTGAGGGGGGCACTTTTTGATAGTTTGAAAGTTATTAATTTTGTTTAATTTCCATAAAAAAAGTTAATTACAATAAAACTATGTCACATTTGTGATTTTTTCTTCAACAAGTTTTATCCACATGGATGCACCTTTCCCCAGAAATAATTTAATGACATTACCTGAGAAAAATTTTGTTTTTCTACAAACGTCAAAGAATGACAAGGATCGCGCATTGATAACAAATTGCGAAGTGGCACCGTTTTTCAGTTTCCTACGTTACCATGATACCTTGCACAAAACAATGCGCGAAGTAAAACAGTGCGCGAAATACCTACTTCGCGCATTGTTATTTATTTATCTATTTATTCATTCATTTATTTATTTATTTCAATTACATTCAACAGGCAAAGCCCAATTGCAGGTGTAAATTTTAATATGTGAAGTTAATACTTAGGATATACTGAAGAAAATGGGTTTGAACAAAATTCGATACAGGGTGTTTCATAATTGAATGCTGATCCTTAAGGGCGATAATCCTTGGATGATTTCAAAGAGAGAAGTTCATATCAACATATGTCCTAAACCTCTTAGTTATTGAGCTACATGGTGATGAAATTTCAAGAAAAAAATGAGTTTTTCATCATAATTTTTTAACACTCTCAGATATTGTTATGATATTTTGTATACACCTTTTCATTATTGAGGAGCATTTTTTTACGTGAAAGATATTAAAAAATTCTCACCAATGGCGTCCGTACGGGGTTTGAACTGACAATTTTTGAAGATAAAAATAGTACGCCACTGATTTTTCTGAGAATCAGATTTTTTTTCAATTCTCATTTATTTTGGAGCAAATTTGGTTTCTAGACTTACTTTCATACAACGTACCGTTTTCGCGTAAAAAAATAAAAAGCAAAGAATTTTGTTCCTTATTCAGTTCTTGGATATTGTTTTTGGTAATTCAGTAGACACCCACTATAAGTGGAAACACATTTTGTTTTGGGACGAAAATCAAACTTTTACTTTTACCAGTGATGTCCTCGTAGACCTGATATTGAATGTTTTGTTTAAAAAAACGCTGTACGCTTCTGATTTCAACACCCTGTATCTCAAAAACTAAGAGGTTCAGGACATATGTTGATATGAACTTCTCTCCTTAAAATCATCCAAGGATCATCGCCCTTTAGGATCAGCATTCAATTATGAAACACCCTGTATATACATATTCATGTGTTCACATTTATACATATATATGCATATTCAATTACTCAACGACCTTTGATATATTTGTTTGAATTGTGGTACTGTCTGGAAGAATATATCAACATCTTTGAGTTTGTTATATAACTCCTACACATTGAGGTGAGCGGACAATGGAAATGATTTTATGAATTTGTAATAGCTATATGAAAAGTTATATTCGATCGAGATGCTATTAGTGACGATATAAAGTATATGAGATATTTATTTTTCAACTATATGGTTCTCAATCGAGCAAACATCCACGCAATCACATGCCAAGGAGGATGGAAAGGAATAGGTTTATGGCCTATATGCAACCGTTAATATTGGCCTAAGTGAAATTTCCTTCACCTATATATTATATAGTATTATGAATATGACAGCTCATCGATGATCTCCCTGATATTATCTCAAAATTACAGGATGTCCTCACAAATAACTCAGTGGAAGAGCTTCTCATGGGTATGACATCCCAGTTAGCTGAGAGGGAAGATTCATTTCTTTGTTCTGACGTAAGAGACAAACTTTTTGGTCCAATGGAATTCTCTCGTAGAGATCTAGGTGCTCTGAATATTATGCGAGGAAGAGACAATGGCTTACCAGATTATAATTCAATCAGGGCTCACTATAATTTGCCAAAGGTTGAGAATTGGATGGATATCAATAAGAAGTTGTTCGAAGAAAAGCCGGAACTTTTGAGGTTTGTATAAGTTTGACAGTGATATATTGACCTTATCGAAATAGTTATTTACATTATCCCTAATAACACAATAACATCTGTAAGACGTCGTAGAAACATCCATATGGGATGATAGGAACATCTCTGGAAAATCCCTATTTTCCTTGGGACATTCTTGGGATGTTGCTGGCAACACCCTTGTCAGCATTTGCGATGTGTTATAAACATCCCATCAGAATGTTTGTGGGATGATACGGGGTGTACCAGAGACATTCAGGGTACTTGATATGGAACATCTTGAAGAAACTTTCATATAGGATGTTTTTTTGTTTGATGACAGTAATGGATGACACGGTATGAATTATTTTCAATCTGAAATCCTGAAAATAGCCGACCTATTTCCAGATATCAAGTATCAATCCGAATCCGAAAATATAAGGTTGGTGCGGTCCAATAACTAATGGAAGATGATAACAGTTGTTTGAGGCTTATATTTGTTGGCGCTGGGCCGACGGCTGTTAGTAACTCTTAGCAACGTAGTTGTACCGCCATCTATCGGCTGGTATAACAAATAAATTTAGCAATCAATATGCTGAAGAGATATATTTTGATTTTGTCGTTTATTACATGGTTCATGAAGTTAAGCAGGTACTTTGGTAATATTATTGAGGAATATTTAGTATAATTATTTCAATTTGTTATCGATGAAATTAGCCGGCTTTGGTATAGGTATGAGTATATATGTACGAATACACTTATGATTTCCATTTTTTATCAACTTTTCAATGTTTCAAATGTCACAATTGTTTGAGTTGTTCAATCATGTCAATCATATCATTGTTTATAAAAAAGATCAAATGGGATGTTTCTGGAACATCCAATGAAAACATCTGATGGATGTCCCAAGAGAAACATCTCTGGGATATCGTCCCTAAGTCTGAAACATTGGGACATTTGTAGGACCTTAGCGGGATGTACCAGCAAGATCCCGTGTTGTTAGGGATGTACCAAGGACGAAACACTGTATATTATAGTCGAGTCAGCAGATTGATAGCCGATGCCTTTACCGAGGCTAGCAATCAGGCGACAACAGACAAATAACAGTTGTTGCCAACTCACTCTCCGCGCGGAACAGGGTTGCCAGTTCGATTTCTATTTCATCAGTAAACACCTTGTCAAAAATGCAGTAGATTTCGATAGATCTGTTTAAGAGAGGATAATGAAATGAACCTATGACGTCGGAACATTATGTACTTTGAGTAAACAAAGAAGTAACCAATTTCCAACAAAAAAGAAACAAACAAAACAAACATTCTCATACAAAAATAATCATAATCCTAATTCTCAATTCAAAAATACTCAGAATTATCACAAGATCATAGGTACTTGTTTCATCAAGCCAGTATTTGATGCATAGATATTAAGTTCATACAATTGCCAAAAGACTTAGTTGGTAGTCTCATATATTTATCCTAATTTTTCGCGCGTATTCAATCACAGAGTATCTATTGGCCACTATACTTAGGGGCACATGGATCCTTTCCCCTCCCCAAAGGAGAGAATCACGAGGACGTAGTACCACGAAAACCATGACTCTCTCTCTCTCTCTCTAATGACTCTCTGAGAGCTATACACGTGTTTTTAATTACACCGGTGAATCTCCAACAAAGGTTAAATTCCTTCCTATAATGAACAATTACACGAAAAACAATATAGTGCAATCATAGTGTCCTGTTCTGGATATCAGATGTGGGTCGTCGATGGTACCATCTCCAAGACAGCAGATTATACGAATTTGGCGTGGCAAGAAGACATCATGGGTAAGTGGCCTTTATAGACCGCTCTGTGATTTCGATGAATTTTTAAACCATACAGTCCACTAATTTATTCATATCTCGAATCATGAAACATTTTGGTCCTTCGAGCCGGATTTATCAATTATAGTCAATTCGTAATTTTCTTATGTTAGCCAAAATTTGTTAATTTGCATAATTAGTATAATTTATTTATTTCGGCGAAGTCTTTTGGCAGACATTAATAAGGTTTTTAATTGACCTATCTATGGTACCGATCGCGCAAATTGTTCACGCAGGTAAGGTAGCGACAGGTGTCTGCGCATCTCCCACTATAATACCTTATCAATTATTCTCCTTTGTGATTGCGTTCTTCCAAACAGCTGATAGCTGGATAGTCTCATTTTGATGACATTTTGTTTGAACTCCCACTATCTCACCTTATCACGTATTCTTCTTTGTGCGGGCTTTCGTCCCAACAGCTGATAGCTGAAATTCTCGTTTCGATAAATTTCTGTTTATGCTCAAAATAATTCAATTTGTATTGAAATAAACTCATATAAGTTTCTCAATAATTTAAAAACAATATTTATAATTTCTGTTATAATTTCTCACGTATTTTTTACGTGGTTAAACCTCAATTGTTACTATCTTCTCCAACTCTAGTGATAACATCAACCTATCTGGTTAACATTTGACAAGATGGATAAAAAATTAAAGGCATTAATAGCGCAACGGGAGTCAGAGATAATTAAATTAAACGATATCAATCGCATTGCTGAAGAGTCTTTACTCGATACGAATACTCATAACAATTTTAAATGTCGCTACAAACATCTGGATACTATTTTAGTGAATTTCGAAGCTGTTCAACGAGATATCGTCAATATCGTCTCGGGCCAAGAAGGTGGAGATGTTCAACCACATCATACTATAATGTCAATATTTTTCAACACGTATTATCAGGTGCAAGAAACCTATTTCCGATTATTCGAGGACAAAGAGCTTGCCAGTAATGAAAATACACGATCGTGTAATGTTCGATTACCTAAAATGGAGCTTCCGACATTCGATGGGGATATTAGAGAATGGCAAACGTATAATGATATGTTCGATTATTTGATACATAACAATACTCAACTGTCCAATATCGATAAGTATAACTATTTGATTTCATCCTTAAAAGGCAATGCTCTTTCGATTGTCAAATGTACACCATTGACCTCTCAAAATTATATTGTGGCATATAACGCCCTCAAAAAAAGATATGAAAATAAACGGCTAATTGCCACTTCTCATTGGCATGCACTCGAACAGACTAAAAAAATTAATGTTGCTGATAATCTCTCTGCGTTGCGCCATATTTTAGACATATTTACCGAAAACCTTTCTATTTTGGATAACTTACAGTTCCCCGTAAAACAGTGGGACTTCATCACGTTTAATATGTTGTTTGATCGTATCGATTCTGATACTCAGACTAGATTTGAACTAGAATGTGCTTCTAAACTGAATATTAATAATTACTATGAAACATTGAAGGAATTTTTAGAAAAACAATGTAGCGCTTTGGATACTGTTGCATTGTCTAATTCATTTGTCAAAAAATCTGATAATTCAAGACTTAAATTGTCTTCTTCAATAAATAAAACCTCACTCCCAATACGAGCAAAAACTAGTTCAAGTTTTGTCAGCAACTCCTCAAATAATATGGTGTCTTCGACAGTATGCCCGTTATGTAACAAAGATCATAATATTAGTAATTGCCCTCAAATGATTTCTCGTTCTCCAAAAGATAGATATGCTCTGGTAAAGAGTAAAAGATGGTGCACAAATTGTTTGGGCACTCGGCACTCTGTTTCAAATTGCTCTTCTCGAGCTGTATGTCGATACTGTTCACAGACCCATCATACTCTTCTTCATTTTGATTTATCGAAGCAAACATCGAACCAACCCTCCTCCAGTGCTTATAATCCCTCAATTAATAATAATTCTAATTCTATCCCCCCTTCTTCCGGTACCGGTAACCCGAAGAATGGTCTGAATACTCATAATAATGCCTCGATAAATGAGAACCCATCCGTCTCCTCTATTAACTTGCTCTCTAATATCCGAAGTACTGTTCTTCTTTCGACTGCTATGATTGAAGTTGCAGACGCAACCGGAACTTTCCGCCCTGTACGTGCACTATTAGACAGTGCCAGTCAGTCGTCATTTATCACCAGTAAATGTTGTGATAAATTGGCATTATCACGCACTCCTCTATCTATGGAGATCAAAGGAATAGGATTAAAAAGTTCACTTGCCAATCAGAGTGTTTCTACTACACTGAAGCCGCGCGGCGAAGGAGAGCCTATTCTGAAAATTGATCTGGTAGTGTTGCCGCAGATTTGTTCAAATATGCCCTGTACCACCATATCTAGTGAAAAGTTCGAACAATTTTCTAACCTCAAACTTGCTGACCCCGACTTTAATCTCTCTCGACCAGTAGACATGTTGCTCGGAGCAGATGTGTTTGCATATGTCATAAAAGGTGGTAACTCTCATGATTGCTTGAGCGATCCTGTTGCCCTTGATACGATTTTTGGATTTATTATCATGGGAAAAGTTGATATTCAAATTCCCACCATAAACTCCTTTGTAATTTCGTGTGAAGATCATCTAGAAAATTTCGTACAAAGATTTTGGGAACTCGAACAAATTCCGTCCAGAGTTGTTACATCCCCGGAGGATGTATTAGCCGAAAAGATTTATCAGGATACTCTCTCTAAAAATCATGATGGTCGGTACATAGTGGCTCTCCCTTTCCATACTCCCGAAGTTATTTTCGAGGATTCTCGAGATATTGCCTTCAAACGTCTCATGTCTCTAGAACACCGATTATTGAAAGATCCGCCCTTATATAAGCAATATTGCGATTTTTTGCAAGATTATCTCGATTGTGATCATATGGAATTGATACAGGATCCTACACCCAATCCCTTTTCATATTATATCCCTCACCATTGTGTCATAAAACCAGATAGTTTGACTACCAAATTACGCGTGGTTTTTAATGCTTCTCAGAAATGTAAGAATAATTTGTCCCTAAATGACACTCTTTTATGCGGAGGAAAGCTTCAACAAGATATATCCACACTTCTTTTGAAATTTCGATTACACTCAATTTGTTTCACAGCCGATATCAAACAAATGTATCGTCAAATTCTTGTTTCTCGACCCCATCAA